AGATCAATAAGTACTGCTTTGGCAGGAAGGTAACAGCGCTCCATGCAGTCATGCCAGCCACATGACCGTGGAGGAGTCTATAGACAACACCGGCTCTTTGGCTTAGAAATGGAGATGAACCCCATCCCCCAGACTCAGACACAACTAGACTTAATGTCAGGGGAAAACCTTTACATTTATGTCTACAATGTAGACATAAACCACCACTGCTATGGCTTAATGCTATGAAATTATGAGAGTTATAGATTTGCACAGTTGCTAGCATTCTCTGTCAAATAGTGACAGTGCCTCACCAAATCACAACTCCCATGACTCTGTAGCATTGGCAGTTAAGGTGGTGCCAAACTGCATTAATTTTACAGTGCAGATGTGCCTCTGTCACATCTCCAGTGGAATTCAGCTATTTTCCAGGGGGATCCTCTTGAAATTCTCTTGTTAGGGATATTTGAGGAGGGGCAGAGAAGCATCTAGCTATGTCCCTATAGCAGTGAACATACAATGACGAAGGAATCTTTTCCTTTGTACACAGAACATGGCTAAGTATACAGAATGCTGCATGGCTGAATAATATATCTGAACAATCTAACAAAAGGCAGCCATTGCCACTTTTGGTTTACTTTCTGGCTTAATCTTACTTTCTGGCTTTATGACAGTTAACATTTAAAAGTGTCTTAACTTTGTAGAGATTTACAGAAATACTGGTAGATTCCATCTCAGGAAACCTTTCTTTTGCTTTCTTCTTCAGTACAATTTGCTATTTGTGGTGAATTGTTTATCCAAGGAGATTTACCTGCCATGTATCACATCAGTTTTCATTTTACCATAGGCTCCACCTGTGAAAAAGCAATTGATGGAAGACCTTGGTATACAAAGACACACTTGTGCTGTCATGAAGAAATTTGGATCAAGAGTATTGAAAGCATTGTAAGTCTAGTTCTTTTTTTTCTTTTTTGAAAAGTTAATACAAATGTGAGTAGATCACTAGGTAGGTAGGTAACAGCGCTCTATGAAGTCATGCTGGCCATATGACCTAGGAGGCATCTATGGACAACGCTGGCTCTTCCACTTAGAATTGAGATGAGCACCACCCCCTAGAGTTGAACACAACTAGACTTAATGTCAAACGGAA